TGGATAAGACAACCTAGATCGACCAAAAGGTCCCTTGTTGTCCTTTAACGTTATGTTAAATAGCGTGTTTCATATTTCATTTAAAGGAGGCTTAAAAGTATATTTTTGTCATTTCTTGCTATTGTTATATTTTGGTCTCGTGGATTTCTATATTTACGCAGAATTGAAAGAATACAAAGAATGAGAGAGTGTCAGAGAGGCACATTAATTCAATGTTCTCTTAGATTCTCCATAACTGTGTCCAAGTTCTTGAAGGTAATAAAAGTACACCAATAAATCATTTATTTTTGTGTACTGTCATCAGCATGACATCCTATCGTGATACATAAACGTTCCACAACAACTGCTTGATGAAAAAAAAGAGATGATCATAGTTGTGTGACGCAATGGCCAAGAAGCAGGAAGCATTCCTATCAGCCATTCTATGTCTATTTTAGTTTTCGCATGGTTTAATGTTATGTAATCCTGAGTCAGTACCTTTAAAGCGCATCTTTTGTTGGTTATATATCTAGTCCTGACTGGATATATAGCTATACATGAAAATGGGTCATTCAGAAACATAAAGTTGGTCTTCATCGTATAATTAAGAAAACACGATTACATTTCTTCGAAATATTTTAGAACAAGTTTTTATAACTATTTTATAATACCATATATGATCTATGGATAAACTTGAAGCTAAGAAACGTTATCAACATTGACTATTCCACATTACTGTGTTAACTTTAATTTAGATATTAGTTTTGAGTATATACGTTGCTCAGAATTTTCGTGTACTGATATAGTCTGTCCTCCAGTCCAGCGGAAAGTTTGATCAACAGTGAAAAAAAGACGGTCCCTGATAAAAACTTGTAAGCATGTAATGAAAAAAAAAAAACGTGTAGTAATTCATGTGAAAACATTAAATACAAAGAAGACAGAAACTATTATTTTAAATCCACAAATAAAATTCGCTTATTGTTCTTCAGTTGAGTGTGTTGTTTCTTCTTCATTCACATAACCTCATTCTAATACTGTTTATTTAGATTTAAGTGCCACCATAGATAGGTATTGCTAAATGTATATAATATAACTAAAGTTTTATAATTAGTTACACTAATTACTCAACTTATATAAAATAAAATTGAAGCAATTGTAGTAGTTCAAATTACTTTGTAAACTAAGCATAATCAACCATTAATATTTGAAAAGTTTGTATCATAGGTTTCATTTTCAGTGGGGTCATGTTCCTCGTCTTTAATATTTGAATAGTTTGTGTCATAGGTTTAATTTTCAGTGGGGTCATGTTCCCGGCCTTTAATATTTGAATAGTTTGTGTCATAGGTTTAATTTTCAGTGGGGTCATGTTCCCCGTCTTTAATATTTGAATAGTTTGTGTCATAGGTTTAATTTTCAGTGGGGTCATGTTCCCCGTCTTTAATATTTGAATAGTTGGTATCATAGGTTTAATTTTCAGTGGGGTCATGTTCCCGGTATTTAATATTTGAATAGTTGGTATCATAGGTTTAATTTTCAGTGGGGTCATGTTCCCCGTCTTTAATATTTGAATAGTTTGTATCATAGGTTTAACTTTCAGTGGGGTCATGTTCCCCGTCTTTAATATTTGAATAGTTTGTATCATAGGTTTAATTTTCAGTGGGGTCATGTTCCCGTCTTTAATATTTGAATAGTTTGTATCATAGGTTTAATTTTCAGTGGGGTCATGTTCCCCGTCTTTAATATTTGAATAGTTTGTATCATAGGTTTAATTTTCAGTGGGGTCATGTTCCCCGTCTTTAATATTTGAATAGTTTGTGTCATAGGTTTAATTTTCAGTGGGGTCATGTTCCCCGTCTTTAATATTTGAATAGTTTGTGTCATAGGTTTAATT